AGACCCCAAAAAACAGCAGGGCCGCACGCAGGTCGCGGTGGGTCACTTGCAGGCCTGAGGCAGCTGAAGTATCTGTAGCTTCCTACCATCTCCCCCAGTCCTCATCTGGTGTCCAGAAGAAATTGGGCCGATGTGAAAGCCAAAAGCATCCTGGGGGGTGGGAGTTAAGATTCCAAACAGGGAAACACTCAAGGGGAGGAAGAGGAGCCTGACGCACTTTGCCAGGTGGTGGGGAGGCAGGACTGGCCAGGTTCCCCCCTCTTCACTTCCCAGCTGCTGGCCTCCTGGGCGTGGGCACTGGAGAGGCTCCTGGGCCCATCCCCTCCGGCAGCAGTGCCCGGGAACCCTCCACTCCCCCAGGCTGCTGGCCCGGATCTAGCCAAGCGTTTGCTGCCATCTCTCCTCCCACCACACCGCCTCTGCCCAGCCACACCGGGAGGGGCCTGGCAGCTTATCCCAGAGTCAAAGGAAACACTCCTGGTGGGAGTGGGATAATCCACAGGGGTCCAGCCAGAAGACCCCCTGACCCTCCCAACATCCAGCCAGGTGAGGGGCACTGCTTCTGCCTAATTCACCCTCAGAAGCCCACAACCAACAGGGAGCTAGAGGCCAGGGGCCCCCAAGAAAGAGGAGTCTGGCTTGGTGTCCAGAACTGAGCAAAAAATTAGTTGTAATAACTCTCCCTCCCCACCCCATGCCCTCCAGAACTTCCTCCTAGAGTGGAAACCAGGTTTCTGGCCCCTCGTCAGGTGCCCCCTTCCTCCTTCCCTCTCCAGCGGTGTGAACCTACTGCAAATGACCGATGCGCACCTCCAGGAAGGGCCAGGCACGGCCTGTCAAGGCCTCCTCAGGGCGAGTGGGGGCGTGGCTCTGGCCCAGAATCACCCAGTCCCCCGGGGTGTGACGCAGGGACACTGGAGGAGGGCCCTGCAGTGGGCAGCGCGGGGGGGCCCTGAGAGAGGAAGGGAGGCCGCTGTCTCGGCACCTGCAGAGCAGGCAGGGGACAGGCCTGCGGGGCAGGGGGGGAGGTCCTGGGGCCCCCACCCCCACACACTGGGACTCAGACCGGCAACGAGGGGCCCCTCTTCTCTGAGCCCCCAGGCCTCAGGTTCCAGTGACCTTCCTTCAAGAACACAGAGGAGCACAGCCTGGCCCCTAAACTTGCCCCCCTTGGCAAAACAACAGTAATCATCTCATTTTTCTTCCTTTAACCATCTGAAATTTTTAAGGGGAGGGCCAAAGGAATCGTGCTCTGTTCGAAGCACAAGAGAGGAACCTGCATTGTCAGTGTGACTCTCCAGGGTATCACGAACCATCACTAAGAAACCCTAATGCTCCCCCCACCTTAAAGTCTGTTATCTTCCCCGCTCTGAAGGAATCTGGTCCCCCGCCCCCACTAGCCAGCGGGTTCAGTCAGTGAGCTGAGCCTGGGGAGAAGCCTCTCTCTGGTCTGCCTGGCCCTGGGGCGGTGACAGGCGCAAGGGAGCCTGGGGACCTGCAGGCTCCTGCCTCAGGTGCCTCCCACGAGCCAGTGGGGAGTTGAGAAGGAAAGCTTGCATCTCCCAGCGGGAGCCTCCTCTCTGTTCCCTCACAACATTGCCTGCATTTGCTGCAGGACCACACAATGGTGTTTCAAAAACACCTACAGGAAACAGAGGGTTTCAACTTCCAGCGGGGACTCTGAAGCCTCGCCTTCTCTGGTTGGCGGGAGCCACATCGGGGTGAAACCAAGGTGCCCTGGCTGCTCCAGAGCTCTGAGCTGGGAGTCAACAGCATCACTGTCCCCCTTGGTGGCCCCTGTGCACAATGACAACAGCTACTGTGCTGTGAGGACCTTCGTGCCAGGCCCCCTGCCAGGGTCTTTGGGAGCATCACCTCTAATCCCTGTAACCACCTGCTGGACAGGCTACACCTCCCCACCATGCAGATGTGGAAATCAAGGCTCGAAGAGATCAAGTCACTTCCCCAACGTCAACCAGCTAGAAAGTGGTGGAGCGTTGCTTTACACCGAAAATGTTGAGTGAGTGTCCCCCGGACTGGATCACAGCTGTCAGCGGGAGTCCGAGCCCTGTGCCAGGCTGCGCTGCTCGAGGAGAGGAAGTATCTCGAGTAACTTCATTCTGAAGCCCCCAACGGAAGGGTAAATCCCTCATCTCCCACCACAGCCGACCGTGCAGTCACAGTGTCCTTGTTACAGCTTTGGCCTAGTGGCCCTGACCATAGGCAGCATGGCCCTTAAAACATAAACCCCCTTTGGTCAAAATGGAGTTTCTAGGAAGGCATCTAACCTTGGCTAACTCACACTAGAAAGGGGACATAGAAATCATCTGGAGTCCCTGCCTGCCAAGCACTGCTCTCCAGTGGTTATTTATGTCACGTCACCTGCTTTAGGTCTCCCAGCGTGGCTGTGGACAGGCAGGGCAAGTAGTATTATCTGCATTTCACAGGTGGGCAAACTCAGGTTCAGAGATGTCGAGTGACTTGCCCGAGGTCACACAACTACTCAACGCCAGAGGCAACACTAAAACCCTAATTATCCATGTGCACCCTATGATTCTGACTCATTCTCTGGAGCTCAAAGAAAGACCAACATGAAGTGTAATAGCCCCTTCTTTCTTCCAATGCAGAAGGTGACACTTGTGACTATGTCTGCTGGAGTGCCCTGAAAGTGCCGTCTGGCTTGGCTAGCCCCGCCTTCCGGGTGGGGAAACTGAGCGCTCCAGGGAGGGAGGGTTGGGGCCCATCCTGCAGGGAGTGAAGGTGAGAAGGGAACTCTGGGCCTTCCTACCGTCCATCCAGAGCCTGACCACCCCCACCACGTGAAAGGGTACAGCGCCCTCCCGGTCTGCAAGGCTCATCCCCACCTGGACGGACGGCTTCAGAGGGCAGCCAGCACTGCTGGAGGAAGGCCGGGGCCTCCCCGGGCGTCTGCGTTCGGGTGGGGACAGATAGGCACAAACTCCAGTGAGGGCCCATCGAGTAGTAGGGCCACAGTTTTGGGTTTCAGATTTGCTTTTTTAACTTTTAAGCCATTGTCATATTTGGGAATATTTCGGTAACGTTTTTCCTAAAATTAAGTTGAAGTGATTTTCAGAACCAATAATCGGCCTTTCAGGACACCTCACTTTGGGTCTGGGGGTGGGGGGCAGAGAGCCAGAGCAGTGGGGAAAATGTGTCCCTCTGACGTGACGCCCCTCCTGACTGAACAAACGACGTGACGACACAACACCGCAGCTCTCCAAACCCTCCCTGGGCCTCCAGCATCCAGCACGGGTTCACCAACCAGCAGGGGGAAGGGACTGTCTTATGAGAAAGACGAAGTCCCATCTGGACAGGGCCCTTTAAACGAGATCATTACGTATGCATGTAACGCACTCCAAGGCCACAGGCCCCTGCAGCAGAGTGACCCCCGACTCTTGCCACAGGTCTCTCGGCGAAGAACTGAGGGAGACCAGCACGGCTTGGCTCCACGCCAGGCGGCCCTGGGCCCACTGGCCAAGAGCAATTAGCCAGGGAGGAAGGCCCTCGCCAAGTCGCAGAGCGAACGCCGCAGCGGGCTGAAGTGGCCCAACTAGCCCCCCGCCTGCAGGTCTCCGGGGGCTTCTTCAGGAGCTGAAGGGCTAAAAATAACCTCGGCCTTTGTTGTGAGCAGCCGGACCACAGAGATGGCGCTGACTTCAGGGAAGCCGAGCATGCGCAGGGGTCCCGCTCACCGAGACCTGCCCTTTGGGCAAATGATTTTTCCAGAAATGTGTCAGTTATTGTGTGCTGCTGCTGTTGCCACTGCTATCGAGATTCAAAGACAGCCCAGTCCGCTCCAGCCCACGGGGTTGACTTCCAACACAGACTTCTCGCAATCTGAGCCTTCCCACCTCTTTCTTCTCTGATACATTAAATAAAAAAAAAAAAAAAGGCAAGCGTCCATCCCGTACTGGGGAGCTTAGGAGACAAAAGCAGCCCTCGAGCAGAGGGTGCTGCATCGCTTGCTCATAAATAATCACACCACCTCAATTGTTTGTTCAGGTAACAATCATCTCTCCTCTCTCCTACGATGTCCAGTCAGGTCTCAGTAGACAAGGGCGGACACACACTTCATGGAAGGGAGAAATTACTCGAGAAAGGAACTCCCAGCGTCGTCAATACTGAAGAGTCCCTCAAAGCTGCAGTCCTTTCTACCAACACTCAGTTTTGACTGGGCGGTCCTCTCCACTCACCGTCCTGGTTCTCGAGCGCCACCAGGGAAAGCCCAAGACCCAGGCTGGGTGGAAGGCAGAGTCTTAACGCCATTCTCTGCTCAGAGGCCGTGGCCTGTCTCGTCTCGGGGGTGCTCTGCTTCTGAAGGGGAAGGGACAGTGCAGCCTGGTCCCTGGAGAAATCACTCCTGGTGGGTAACGAACACTTATCGGCCACTGCGGGGCCTAGGAACTATCTTCAGGACGTGTCCTCCCACCCCTCAGCGCCTCTGCTTCCCTCCCCAGCCCCATCAGGAGGCCGCCCCGGCTGTGGTGCCACTGGCCACCGGCTGGGGGTCCAGAAAGCGGCTCTTCCTCTTCACAGAGACCACGGAACAAGGAGCAATCTTCACTGTCAAGATGGCCTCCAGGCTCTGAGCCTAGAAGTTTCCAGGGAGGCTTCTAATAAATAACTTCTTTACAGCCCTTTGTTCCTCTGCTGACTTCAGGATGAAGAGTCCATGCTGGAGGCAGGGGGCTGTGAGCAGGTTTCTTAGAACACAACGGACAGAACACACCAGACTACACATGAAGAACGGATGCGTGGTCACAAAACGCTGTCCCTTATGATGGGCGCCAGTGAGGGCCGCAGGGCCAGGGTAAACGGGAGAGGGTTCCGCAGGGTTGGGGCGCGGGGCTGCCCTTCACAAGAGCAAGACCCTTCCGGGAGAAGCAAGGAGGGGCTGGCTGGAGTGTGGGAGCCTGTGGGCGGGGGGGCGGGTAAGTAGGTCCCCGCCTGGCCCCACGTTTCCAGGCCCTCTGTGATCACTGGTTTTCCTCACAGGTGGTCTGTGTGCAAACAGGGGAGCAGGGGCTCGATCTGGACTGAACTGGGCTCTGGTTGGACCTCTCCAGCAGCAAGCCACCTGCTGTGAGCCGGCGGCCTAGGCTTGGCAGCCGAAGGCTGAGGCTTTTTCTTTGAGCAGTTCCCAGCACAAGTGGCAGCTCCAGCTTCCTGCAGGAAACAAGACGGCATCACTGGCAGCACCGCTCCCAGCCCTCCAGCCCCACCCCTGGGGCCCTAACTTCTTGTAAGCCCTGTTTCCTTTTGACTCTCACCATCCAGAGACCAAGTCCCAATCCTGAAGATGCGCTGGAGTCTGCAGCTCAGCAGGCAGCGAGTGCAGCTCAGAAAACAGTAAGTGCTCAGAGACGACTGGCTGAACAGCCGTCCAGGCCCTCGCTCCTGGATTGCGCCTTTAACCAGGACCGTGGGGCCGGGGCCTGTTCCCCTGGGAGCTCACACCTCCCACCACCTCAGCCATGAGTCTGGGAAACATCTCTTTGGTCCTCAGGTTGAGATTTCAGCTGGATGAACTGTGCCTCAGTTTCCTCATCTGTAAAATGGTAGTGGTTGTACCTACCTCGTAGGGTTGTGATGATTAAATCAGACAAGATATGAAAAGCCCTTAGCACAAGGCCTGCACCACAGTGAGGGCGCAGTAAGTGGCAGTGGTAGCTGCTGTTGTGAGTGTCGGTCTCATCGCCATTACCTTCTGGGGGCTCAGCCACTGGGGGATTCAAACAGTACATGTGGTAGCCACGGTCACAGTCATCACAGAAGAGTAGCTGGTCCTGGTGGAACACAGAGCAGGTGGCAAGGAGGAGAGAGAGACTCCGTTACTTAAGGCCAACGTCTGGGCCCTACCTACTCCACCACCTTTACTTCCCCAGATCCACCTCCCTGCATGCCCCTTTCCAGACCCATTTAGAGTCTCCACTGTCCCCTGAACATGCCCCGTGCTTTGCCCACACTTGGAATTTCACCGTCTGCCTCCCCAGCTACACAAATCCTACTCTTACTTTAGGATTCTGCTCAAATCATACCTCCTCCAAGAAGCCTTTCTTGACTACCACCTTGCATCTAAGCTAAAAGAAATTCACTATTCTTCTGAACACCCACAGCCAATAACTCTGCTTCTGTAGGGCAGAAAACTAAATTTATGCATTTCTATATTCCCATGAAGACTGCCTAGTGCATAGAAAGTACTTTACACATTTGAAGATTTTACTTGAATTCCTCTGAACATCACTCCTTCCATCTATGAAACACGCAAGGACCCTTCATTCCTGGTGGTAACACCCATGACACCTCAGAACCATTTTAGGGTTTCATTATGCAAAGGTTCAGAAATGCAAATGAAGCTGTTCTTCAGCTCCCCAAAACCTCAAGACTGGAGCCCAGGTGCGAACAGGACCCTCCAGCTGTGATGTATGTCCAAAAACACAGCTTGCACCTTTGCTCCTGCAGGTCCCTCTGCCTGGAGGCTCCCCCAGTCCCCGACCCTTCTCTTCTGGACCATTCCCAACCATTCTCTACCCATCCTTCAAGTCTTCAAACCCTTCCCTCCCTCAAAGACTTCACTAATCGACCTCCACTGGAAGTTCTCTATGTCCACTTGCACCCCATAGTACTCTCCGTTTCTTATGGCACTTTATTGTATTTTCCTTTACGTTACAAAGCCTGGTATGTGGCAGACATCTAACTATTCTATTGAATAGTTCATTTGGGATACGCCTCTTTTGTCCACTCCTTTAGGGACTGTCAGGCCCTTGGGGCAGAGCCTTGTCTTACATCCCCGTATCTCCTGCAGAACTTCCTTGCACATAAAGCTCCTCAGCACATGTCTGTGATCTGGTCCCCATCTCCAGGTTCAGTTCTGTCCTATTCAGTGATCTTTGGACTTGCTTTGATAGCTTACAAGACATTTGCAAAATTAAGTTTTGTATCAAGTCTCACCTTGGCACCCACCAGTGCAGAGATCCTGGAAAAAAGTAGATACAGAAGGTGGAAACCCCAGTGAGCAACCCATGAGGAGGGAGAGATCACGAAAGGCCTTCTGTATCATGCCAAGATTTTCAGTGGGGCAAGAAGAAGCTTTTGAAGAGTTAGCAACAGGAGTGACATGGTTAGACTTGCAATTCAGGAAGACCTCACTAGCTACTGTGCAAAAACAGACACCCAGGTGGAGAGAGGTTGCTTCTAGAGGCCAGAGACCACTTAAGAAGAGGCTAAGCCATCCAGGTGAGAGACGATGGAGGCCTGGACTGGGACTGTGGCATAGGGGAAACACAGGACCTTGCTTTCATTTCAGAGTGAATGACCAGACGTGGAGAGCGGTAAGGAAGAAATCAAGAGCATCTCCTGGGTTGTGACGTGGGCAGCAAACCAGCCCACTGGGCATGGACACAGGAGCAGATCTGTGGATGGAGAGGACACTCTCAGCTACAGACACTTCTGTAGATCTACAGATCACCTGGAAGGGATGCCCGAGAGGCACGAGGGGATCAGAAAAGAGGCCTGGGCGTGAGCAGTGGATTTGGGAGTCATTTGGGATTAAACAGCAAAAATGGTCCTGGGAGAGGAAACCCAGGGTATCTGAGAGATGTCCTTGAACTTGTGCTCATGGAGGAGTGCCCATGAACTCCTTGAAATTACATTCACAACTCTGTATATAGGTAGGAATAAATGTACATTTTCCTGAGGAAAGAGTAAATTCACAGCTTTCATTGAAAAGCTACTTCTGAAAAATCAAGGACTCATAAAAGTTACTGAGAAAAAGGCCAAGAATAGACCCTCGGGAAACGCCAACTTCAAGGGACAGGGAGGGAAAAACAGACTAAGAAGCAGTCAGAGAAGCAGAATGAAAACAGGGCAGTGTGGTTCACACCAAAAAAAGGTTACACCATGACTGGCAAGCAGAAGTAAGCTATCTGACAACACGCTTCAGGGATAGTATGAGGAGAAGGTAGTTAGGATGAGGACAGGAGATAGGGAGAGACTTATCAGGAACAGTACCACCAACATCCCAAAGACACGGAGGCCCCCGCTACAGTGTTGACACGAAACACACGAGAAGGGAGAACACCCCGACTGAGCTCTCCTACAGGGAAACCGGGCCTCTGTGGGTTTAAACGTGTTCTGCATGGGGCTGATCGTTGTCTAGAACCGTATTCTCTTCTTTCCCGTCTGCTTTTCAGGACAGTTGCCTGTCAGAACTACCAAGAACCCCAACTCATGCTACCCCCATGAGAAACACAGTTTAAGGACCTCTTACTCCCAAGTATGCAAGAACCAGGACCCGCCCACGGCCGCAGCTCCAGCAGCGGGACGTGCAGTATAAACCCCTGACTGTGGGCGAGGAACCCTACTGCCCAGGCGGCCTCACTCCTTCCGTTCTTCCCCTGAGGCTCTGCTAAGTCAACAGAACACCTCAGCGTCAACGCCATCTGTAAAGCCCGGGACCGGCATCAACCCAAAGGGCCACCGGTACGAGACTTGTTGAACAAAGTAAGGAAGAACTACGCAGCTGTAGGCAGGAGAAAAGATTATGCCTGCGTGTTGCTATGGAGTAATCTCCAGGATTTTCAGTAGAAAAGCAGAAGGAAGAAAATATCTAAGTCTGTCACCATTTTCTACAAAAATGCATCCATTTTCTTATAGCGGCACATGCACATACATATGCTTACATTAAAGCAAGGTGGAAAGATAAAACATAATTTTTGAAAATGGTTATCTATAAGCAAAATGAGAGGATAGTGTAAAACAGGTAGGGGTAGAAGCTAGGTTTTGTTAAAATACTGTTTATTTTATAACTTTTAATTGGAACCAGCAAATATTTTACATAGTCATCAAACAAAATTCACATTGCAATTGCCCTACAAACCAAAGAAAAATGAAACAAAATCATCTAATTATGTATCAGTTGGTGATATAAACATATAGAAAGAACTATTCCAAGTGACTTGTTACATTAAATGTACTGGGGTGACACTGGTTCGTAAGATCACACAGGTTTCGAGTGTACGTTTCTATGACACCCAGTCTGTACCTTGCCCTGTGCGCCCACCACTCACAGTCAGACCACCTTCTGTCACCACATATTTGGCCCCTTCACCCTTTACTACCCCCCCCCAAGTGACTTTAAAATAAGTCGTTTGACTGCACATCCTTAGTCAAATACATCTTAGGACAAAAATAAGTGCAAATATGTGTGTGTGTATACCGTATTTTGCTGTGTATAATATGCACTTTTTTGCCCACATTTTTTGAGGGAAAAATGTGCATTATACATGGGTAGTACTAATTCTGTATCTATATAAATGTTTTTGATTTTTTATTTATGCTTATACATTAAAAGTTTAACCCTAGAAAGCAATAACAATACCGGTATGCAAAACAATATCCTGGAATACAATAATCAGTTTTGTTTCTAGATGTAGATAAATAAAAATTGAATTAAAAAGTTAAAACTGAAGATTTTTTTCCTGAAAGTTTGGGCCAAAAATGTGGGTACACATTATACATGGCAAAACACAGTATTCAGATGATTTGGAAGGCTGCATCTGTGGGCAACCAGTGATGGGCAGCTTCATCACGACAAGGCGCCCACTCACGCATCACGTCTCATGCAGAGTTTTTTGGTGAAACATCAAATCACCCAGGTGACTCAGTCCTCCTATAGCCCAGATTTGGCTCCCTGCGACTTTGGGCTTTTCCGAAAACTAAAATCACCTTTGAAAGGGAAGAGATTTCAGACCATTGATGGGGTTCAGGCAAACACAATGCAGGAGCTGATGGTGACTGGAGAACTGTGTGAGGTCCCACTGTGCCTACTTGGAAGCGACTGAGGCATCATTATCCTGTGTACAGTGTTTCTAGTACCTTGTATCTTCTTCTATAAATGTCTCTATTTTTCATATTACATGGCTGGATACCTTCTGGACAGACCTTGTATATTTAATGCCATTTTATTATTTATATTTTTAATCTTTTTTCTTCTTAAAGAAAACCCTTTAACATTTCATGTAATACTGTTTTGGTGGTGATGAGCTCCTGTAGCTTTTCTTGTCTGGGAGCCTCTTTATCTGTCCTTCAGTTCTAAATGATAGCTTTGCTGGTTAGAGTAATCTTGGTCGTAGGTTCTTGCTTTTCATCACTTTGACTATTTTTTGCCAGTCATTTCTGGCCTGCAAAGTTTCTGTTCAGAAATCAGCTGACAGTCTTAAGAGAGCTTTCTTGTAGGTAATGAACTGTTTTTCTCTTGCTGCTTTTAACAGTCTCTCTTTGCCTTTGACCTTTGGCCTTTTAATTATAATATGTCTTGGTGTGGGCCTTTTGGAGATTATCTTGTTTGGAACTCTCTGCACCTTGTAGACTTGTATATCTATTTCCTTCACCAGATTAGGGAAGTTTTCCATCATTGTTTTTTCACACAGGCTTTCAATTCCTTGAGCTCTCTCTTCTCCTTCCAGCGCCCCCATGATGTGAATGTTGGTACACTTGAAGTTGTCCCAGAGGCTCCTTATACTATCCTCATTTTTAAAATGCTCTTTTTTCTTTTTGCTCTTCTGATAGAATGTTTTTTGTTTCCTTGTATTCCAAATCACTGATTTGACTCTTGGCTTCATCTACTCTACTGTTGATTCCCTAAAAATTACTTATTTCAATCAGTGTATCTTTATTTCCAAATGGTTCTTTTTTATGGTTTCCATGTCCTTTTTTATGCTGTCGAAGTTCTAAGTTCATTAAGCATCCTTATAAGTAGTGTTTTGAACTCTGCTTCTAATAGATT